AAATAAAAATCATGTTTTTTTTTTTTTTAATCATCACACACAGGCCCTCCATGGTGGCACAGCAGGTTAGGACACAGGAGGCGAGCTAACCACAGCCACTTCAGTGGGAGTTCGATCCCCGGCCTGGAGGTGACCCACATGGCGTGGCAGACCTCTCCTGTGTTGCCTGCTGCTCCCTTCAGCAGTGGACTTGGTTGATCTGCCTGTTCTGCTCCCCGCTCTGTCTCTGTCTCTCACAGCCCCTGCACCCCAGTTCTGTATGCATAAATAAATAAACATCTATAAAGACAATAAAAATTTTTTAAAAGAAAGAAATTAAATCATCCCACACACAGCTTATTATATTTACATCAGGTTATTAAAAAAGCAGCAAGGCCTGCAGATGCCCTGGGCTGGTATTGCTGGAAGATTTTAGACCTAAGGGAGCATCACAGAAGTCCTCCTGAGGAAGAGGGTGGGGAAACTAAGGCCTGGAAGCGGAGAGTCGGTCTGCCAGGTGAGGGGGTGAGGGCCTTGAGGGCCTCCACCGAGCCCCCTATTCAATGTACAAAGTAGAAGAACAGGCGTGAGCGCCCCGGCCCCTGCCCACCCTCAGGCGCTCCTGCTCAGCATGAGGATTTTCAAAACCCCTCAAGCTCCTGGGTGGGAAATGGACGGAGACCCGACAGCAAGTCGCCCTGCTCCTAATAGCCCCAAGCCCAGGAGTCCCCAGCGGCCCCACAGGAGCCCCAGAGGGCCCCTGGGAGCTATTCCTGAAGGGCACATTTCCACGCTCCCTGCGCGAGGCCACTGTCTCACGAACAGGGAAGGCGAATCTCAGACACGTTAGGCGAAAGAAACCACACCAGCTCCAGACTGTGTAGTCCCACCCATGCTCAAGGAGGGGCAAGAGTGAAGCTCCTGCCACCCGGCAGACGTCCAGACAGTGGGTTAGTGCCTGGGAGGGTGCAAGGAAACTTTTTAACCTCAAACGTGGTGAGAACTTTTGGCTTTGATGCTCGAAGCCTCATCAACAAAGGAAGAATAGATAAATCGAACTTGATAACAATTTAAAAAACCTTTGTACGTGACAGGACATCACGAGGATGAGAAAAGCAACCTTACAGGATGGGAGAAAACATCTGCAAATCATGCACCTCCCTGGAGGTGCAGAGCTGGTCTCAGCGCTATGTAGCTGTCCACAGCCGCTGCCTCAGGAGTTCAATCCCCGGCCAGGTTGGGACCCACAGGGCGCGGCAGGCCCCTCCTGTCGCCCCACTGCGCCCCTCAGCAGCAGATTTCATTGGATCTGCCTGTTCTGCTCCCCACTCTGTGTCAGGTGAATCCTCTCACCCCCATAAATCTTTAAAAAACAAAACAAAACTCTAAACCGTGTGTCTGATCAGGGGACAGCACCCAGAACTTAGAGGGTGCCTATCACTCAACAAAACCACCGAACAGCCCACTGATCCCAGACACAGGACTTCAACAGACGTGCACAGCAATATATGCAAAATGTGTTCACATAAACGTGGCCAAGGAGCCCGTGAAAAGACGTTCCTTGATTATTAAAGAGAAGCAAACCAAACACCATCGGATATGGTCCCACACCCTTGACGACGCCCTTCATTCCACAATGTAAAAGAATAAACTTAGGCGAGGAGGTGGAGAAATGAAAGCCCCTGGCCCCACCGTAGGGACGAAGATGGCACCCCCCCCTCCTGTAAAACAGCCTGGTGGCTTCTCACAAAGTTAAAAAAAAAAAAAAAAAACATAAGGAATGAAGCATCGACACATGCGTGTTCCAACGTGGAGGAGCCGCCGTGCGTCATGACTGAGTGAAAAGCAGACAGACACTGCGTGTCACGGAGCGAGGCCCCTTGAGCAGGCTTGGCCTGCACAGGCGGGTCCTGGTGGCAGAAGCCGGCTGGTGGTGGGGCGGGGAGGGCTCAGGAGAGGTTCCCCAGTGGGTATGGGGTATTTTTCTGGGATGATCAAAAAAGTTTTGCTGCTGGAGAGGTGGTGGCTGCACAGCCAGAGAGCTGTGCAGACCACGCCTCAAGAGGCTGAAGCCGCTCTCGCATATTTCACTTCAACTGCAGAAACAGACCTCCACTGAAAACCTCCGTGTCCCGGGGCATGAAATTCCTCCTGGGTGTAAAGCACATTCATTCATCCTTGAACCTCACTGCAGCCCCAAAAAGCTGGGGGAGGGGGCTCTTTGGAGCTCCAAGAGGGAGAGTGACCGCACACTGCTCACCCAGCTGCCCAGGGAGAGTGTCAGGCCTCTCAGACACCCCCTGCCCAGACTCCCACAACCACCCACCCCCTTGGGGTTGTCTCCTGGCCTCCCTGGGAGGGAGCTGGTGAGGTCAGGAGCCAGGAATGTTTCTGCAGCCACTAGGCGGGAGATAGTGACAGAGGAGCTTGGAATGTGCTGCCTCTGAAAGGACCTCCTTGTGGTCGGACAGTTAGAGCAGGAAGGGACTTTCACGGTCAAGTCATCACACACACACACACTGAGACCTGAACCCTTGCTTGGCCGCTGTGTGGGGCTGCTTGGGGAGGGGCGTGGGGATATTTTTGCAACAGGCAGTGACTGACTTGTGTCTGGCCTGCATGGCCACCACCTGGCCGCCTGTGTGCCCCTGACCTGTCCAGCCTGAGCCCAGCCGATGCGTTAGGGATCAGTGTGGCATGTGTGTGTGCCTGCCTGGCGGGGGGGGTCTCCGCGTGGATGGGAGCCCCAGGACGCCCACGCCCAGGGCTTTTCATCAACCTGCATCTTTCTTTATGCCTCCGGTTGCAACCTACTCCATGCAGCGCTGAGGATGGGACCCTGTTTGGGTTCCTTTCTCCAGCAGCCTGAGATGTCGTTACTGATGTGTCTCCACATTGCAGCAGAAAACAGGCTCCAGGAGACTGTGTGGCCCTAGTCCGGAGCTGGGAGGTAAGCAACCCTACAGAGCCAGGGTGGGCTGGCTGCAGCCTGCAGTTTTCCACGCCACATCAACCACCGCCTCCAGCAACCTCTCTCTCTCACACTTGCATGCGTGTGCCTTATTTCTCAGCTTGGTAAACGACTCTACTTTCTTTTTCAGTGCTCGAGAAACACGAGCATGAAGTGGAGCAAGGGTGAGGGAGAGGCACCAGGCTGGTAACCACCTTCTGAGTGCGCAGCACTTTACAGCTTACAAAGCACTTTCACATTTGTGATCTCATTTGATCCTATAATAGCCCCATGAGGTAGGCGGGAGGCCCAATTATTCCCATTGGGACTGGGCCCCAGAGGGACAGTGACTTAGGTACACGGAGACCCAAAGGGAGCTCTACGACAGGAAGCCCAGCGCCAGCTGGTCTCCAGGAGACCCTAGGTCCTGAGAGTTCTCACAAATCCCTGGCTTCTGTCCCCAAAGAAGGCAGCCCAGGCCCCGCCCCTCGGAGCCTCCTGCCTGAGGACAAAAGCAGAGCTCCTCACTGGTGCCCAGGGAAAGCAGGGAGCTCAGGCGGGCACCGCCTCTCTGGCTTCAGCCCCGTCATCTGCCAAAGAAGGGGAGCAGCGAGCTCTGGTGACTGGTGCTCACTGACGTGTGCCCTTTGGCCTGTGCGTTAGGGTGTCTGGAAGTTTTGAGAAATCTTGCCTGGCCCTGGGTGAAGAGCACCCGCAGCCCCGATCCAGTCACGAGCTTCAGCCACTGAGGTAGTGACCTTAGGTCATTCATGCCCACATCTCCGGGCCTCAGCTTCCCACCTGGAAAATGAAGATGGTAATGGTGGCTCCGCCCCGTGTGACCCTGGTTGTGGACATTGGACACAGGTCTTTGACACAGGCCTGTCTCCAGGCCAGGCTGGGGACACACAGCCTGGGAAGACCACCTTGGTACTTAGAGAGGACGGCTTTTGTCAAACGACAGGACAGCTGTGTCCCCTTCAGCCTCTTGCTACTTACAGGAACACAGAATGGAGACTTGCTCTAGCTCCCGAAATTATCCTGTGAGTGGCACAATTATATTGCGTTGTTTTGTGGGTAGTTCAAAGCTTTACCTTGTTCACTGTCAGCATTTAAAACATACCATTATTTTTGTGACACTGGTTTGTCATTTGGATATGTTCTTTTTTAAAAGATTTATTTTATTTATACATACAGAACTGGGGTACAGGCCAGAGGTGCAGGAGCGGTGAGAGGATTCACCAGAGACAGAGTTGGGAACAGAACAGGCAGATGGACAAAGTACATTGCTGATGGACAAAGTACAGTCTCGCTCTTCACATTCTGAGGGGAGCAGCAGGCTGGTCAGAAGAGGTCTGCCGCGCCATGTGGGTCACCTGCCTGGGGGGGGGGGGTGGAACTCGAGCTCCACAGTGCTGCGCTTTACCGCGTTGCGCCACCAGGGAGGGCCCTGGATACGTTTCAGCCTGAAGGGCAGGGGAAGAGCCTCCCACCAGGCCTGTCAAGCCTAGGATGATGTCCCTCGCTCCGTCCCTGGCATGAAATAATCGCCCGGTAAAAGCCATCACGGCGGTCGTCCTCACATTTGTCCTCCACCTACAGTCTCGCTCTTCACATTCTTCATTTCAGTCTCCCACGCGTGGCACCGCAGCACTGCGAGTATTTCGCCCCATTTTACGGACGCGGAAGCTGAGCGCGGGCGGGCGGGGAGAGGGCCGGGCGCGGCCCGGGCGGGGCGGGCTCACCTGCGCGCCCGCTCGGGGCGGGGCGGGGCGGGCGCCGGGAAGGTGTGTCAACCCGCCAGGAATCCTCAGCTGCACCTGGGCGCGGCGGGGAACTTGCACCATGTATGGGCAGCTGCGTCAGAGGGGGCCGACCCGCCGGGGCGGCTGGGGGACGCCAAGTCCGCCCCTTTCCCCTCCAAGAGGCGCCTACCCGACTGGAGGAGGGGTCGAAAGGTTCGGGGTGAACTGACAAAAGGCGGCGCGGCTGGAGAGGTGGAGCCCCGAGGTGCCCGCAACCCCTCCCATTCGAAGTGGTTCAGCCCGAGAAATTTTCATTCATAAAAAGACTCGGTGAGGCGCGAGTGAGTCAGAACCCGGGCCGCCGACGCGGACCCCACGAGCAGCCAGCTCAGGGCATGTTCCGAGACTTCGGGGAACCCGGACCGAGCTCCGGGGCCGGCGGTGCATACGGCGGCCCGGCGCAGGCCCCCGCGACCGTCCAGCAGGTGAGACACCCGACGCTTGGGGCCCCGCGCGGACAGCGCCTGGGACGCTGCGGTCTGCACCCGCACGCTCCGGGCTGGACCTGGGGCTGGAACGGGGTTGTGGGGCCGCGGCCGCAGATCCCGCCTCTCCTCCGGGGTCCGGGCAGTGCCCCCGACCCCAGTGGCCCAGCGGATCGCGCGCCGCGGCGCCACAGAGGTCCGAGAACCTCCCCTCTCGGCCTCGGGTCCTCGCCGTCGGCTGTCCATTCACCGCGTCTCTGCTACCTTCTTTCTGTCCCCTGTCCACCAGTGATTTCTTGGTCCCATCGGTGTCAGAAGGGGACGCCGGACACCTGGTTTGTCCTCGCCCTGACAGCATCCGAGGGGCCGAGCCATCTCTACTAAACACCCGGGTCGGGGCTGCGCGGCGCCCGCCCGGCAGCTGTGGAGGCGGGATGCGCCCGCCGCGGGGCGCCACTGAGGGGAGCCCTGGGCACTCTGTGGGATCCGCCGGGGGTCCCGCTCCCTGTCCCCTCCTCCGCGCAGTAGGACCCATTGGTCTCCAGAGGTTCCTGGAGAACCGGAGAGCCGGGCCAAGAGCGACCGCCGAGGTGCGGGGACGTGCGCGCAGTCGCGCAGCAGGCAACTCCCGGGGCCTCGACTTCCCGCACCGGCGGCGCTGATTGTCGCCTGGGGGGACCCCGGAGGCTATAGGTGCCCATTTCCTGTCGAGGGGCTGCGAGCACGTGTCTCCAGGGGAGGGGAGGAGCGGCGTCCGTTCCGCCGAGTCACGGCGGCCGAGTCACGGCTGCTGACTCACCCCCGGCGCCCCTCCCTTCCTGGCCCCGAGCGGCCTGGGGACCGACGACCTCGCGAGCGGGGAGAGCCGCGGGCTGTGCCTCGCCCGGAACTGGGGTCACTGGGCCACCGGCCCCCGCGGCCTGCGCTGGGGACACAGTTGTTCGGGCTTGCCTGAGCTTGTGAAGCGCTTCCCAGACGGCGGGGTGCCCACACCCAGGGCTGGCCCCAGGGCTTGAACCCGTCTGTCCCACCGCACTGAGCCCCCTTCTCCACGGTTCCTTAGGTTTCCAGCCGAAAGAAAACCCTGGTGGGTAATACCTAGAGTGCAGAGACTCGCCCGAAGCCCATGGGCCATTTTCACCTCTTCTACCCTGTTTTCCGCAGCTAAGCCTTGAATGATTAAAAAGCCCACCATTGCCGCTAAGGTTTTAAAATACTGCCAATTAAACCATGATTTCAGAACTACCTAACGGGTAGTTCTCAGCATCAAACGCTGTAGTCTTCTCCTAGGACAATGTTAAAAATGAGGACGCTAAGACCCATGGAGGTTAAATAACTTTCCCAGAGTAACAGCCAGTAAGCGGGTGGGCAGCAGGTGGCCTCTGCTGGGCACGCCCGGGTGCCCAGGCACCTGCCTCTCAAATTCTCTCACCTGATGGTCACAGCACTCTGGAAGTAGGAGCTGTGACCTCCTCTCCCTGCAGAAGGCTCTCTGACAGGGTGCCGGAGCCGCAGGAGCCTGCCTGGACCCAAACCCCACTTCCCACAAATTGGCTGTGTGTCTGTGGACAATTGTTTTCCTGTCTGAAAATGAAGCTGCTATTGTGCAAATTACATGAGTCAGTGTTTATAAAGTGACTGGGACATTCCCTAAAACTCATGATTTGTAAGTATTAGCTCTGATGGGAAAATGGAGGCACAGAGAGGTGGCCTGCCCAAAGTCACAGCTCCAGCTGGGACTGTCACCAAGACAGTCCTCCGCCAAACTGTGTTCTTTCTGATCTCATAGAAGCACAGCCGCGGTACGGTGGCAGTGTGGCTTTTGTCCACTGGGAGACCTGCAATCCATGCAGACCTCATCCCTGACTCCCCCCTTTTTCCCTCAGAAGTTCCACCTCGTGCCAAGCATCAACGCTGTGAGTGGCAACCAGGAGCTGCAGTGGATGGTACAGCCTCACTTCCTGGGCCCCAGCAGCTACCCCAGGCCTCTAGCCTACCCCCAGTACAGCGCCCCCCAGCCCCGGCCTGGAGTCATCTGCGCCCTGGGGCCTCCTCCAGGGGTGCGTCGGAGGCCCTGTGAACAGGTGAGGAGCAGAGGGTGAGCTCTTGCCCAAAAGGAGGCTTAGAAGCGGGGAAGAGTCACTAGAAAGCAATAGGTGCCCCAGGGAGACCCAGCAGGCACCCCAGAGGTCACTTCTGTTCAGGGAAAGCTTCCTGGGGATAGAAGCATGTTAGCCTGGAAGGGTCGGGAGGGCGATGAAGGAAAGAACATCCCAAGCAGAGGGCCTGCGGGGCGCAAGACTGGAGGTGGAAGTAAGGAATACACCTGCTTCTGTGGGAGGCGCTTATGCCTCGTGTTGCTGGGGACAGAACAGAGCGTTCCCTTCAGCTATGCTCTGGTCTCAGTCTCCCTAATATAATCCTCACGAAAAAAACACTCGGGGAAGGTCCCCTGGTTTTCTCCATTTGACAGTCAAGGAAATGAAGGCACAGGGACAGAAGGCCACCTGGGCAAGGTAGTGAGTTGTGAGACAGGTGTGTCCAATTCTCAAGCTAGACCCTAACTCCCAAGCCACACACCCTCACTGGAGTCAGCAGACGGCTGGAAGCAGAGTGAACTGGATATTCCTTCCTGCCACCACAGCCGATCAAGTCCTTCCCAAAATAACTAAGAGAGAGAGGGCCTAAGGAGTGACTCCTCTGTCCTCTCCCTGGAGCATCTTGGTACAGGAGATCACAGTAGGGTGAAACTTGTGCCTCCAGAGAACCTAATTTGACACAAGTTACAGGATGGGAATGGGGGTTGCATCTGGGGAACAACGGGTGGCAAGAAGGGGCAGCTTCCCAGAAATAGACTAGCTAACCTTTGGGACCAGCCTGAGAAAGGGGACTGCGGGTGAACCCCAGAAGCAAACGCCCGGACTTCCTTCAGCCCTGTGCTGAGGGTGGCCTTCTGTTCCTGGGCCTTCCTAGACTGGGACAGTGAGCTGTGAATGGAGTCTTATGGGGGGCAGTCCCATCAGCTGGCTGTCACTCAGTGTTGATAGACTGCACGGATTTCATGCATACTCTGGGACCAGAAGCAAGTTATACATATTCCATGGCTTTAGCTCCTAACGTGGGAAGCTGGGTCAAGCATCTGTGAAGCATCAGCTGGCAGTTAGTAGGTTCTTGATCATTAACAAGCCCCTAACAGCACTCATTAGCCCCCCCAGTGCTGACAGCCCCTTGGTTATCAAGAGATGGGAAAAGTTAGGGTCTCTGGAAAAAGTGTAACCTGGCCCAGCGTCCCTGGGGGAAAGGCCCCTTGGAGTTTCTGGGAATGAAGAGAAGGCTTCCCAAAGGCAGGCACATCTTAGCTGAGTCCTGGGAAGAGAGGAGGGTTGAGGCTTGTGGATGGCCAGACGGGAATCAGGCGACAAGCTATACTCACGGAGGAAGCTGGGCCTAGCCAAGCTAAGCGAGTGTGGGGTCCAGCCGTGCTCTCCTCCAGGACTCCTCCATGGGGGCCACCACAGGAGGCAAGTGGACAACCTCACTACTCCTTCCACCCTCCAGATCAGCCCCGAGGAGGAGGAGCGCCGTCGAGTAAGGCGTGAGCGGAACAAGCTGGCCGCGGCCAAGTGCAGGAACCGAAGGAAGGAACTGACTGACTTCCTGCAGGCGGTAAGCACCGGCCTGCGCCCACGGTGCCTGGACTCGGGGGCCCCCAACCCCAGAGGCTGGGCTCCCTGAAGTTGCTGTATCCAAGCAGGGAGTGGGTGCCGCGGGTAGAGTAAGTGCCCTCCCCCAGCTCCCTGCCCAAGGGACAGGCCTTCTGGGGAAAGGACCTGACCAAAGCCATAAGAAGTTAGTTGCAGCACGATGCTTGTAGCAGAGCATAACTGAGGCTTCAGCTGCAAATCTGGTCCAAGATGCCCACGAGCCTGATGGGAGTCATGCCCATTTTCTCCCAAGGGCTCATGGGAGTTGTAGGCCAGACTTTCTGGAGACACTCCTCCAAATCACCACCACCCCTCCCCCCATCACCATCGCAGTGGGAGGCTGGGTGGTATTGGCCTTCATCTCCACTGTTCCTCTCCTGACTCTGCAGGAGACTGACAAACTGGAGGGTGAGAAGTCCGGGCTGCAGCGGGAGATTGAGGAGCTGCAGAAGCAGAAGGAACGCCTGGAGCTGGTGCTGGAAGCCCACCGCCCCATCTGCAAAATCCCCGAAGGGGTCAGGGAGGATGACGCTGGTGGAGGAGGCGGCAGCCCGCCGCCCGCCTCCCGCCCTGTGCCTTGTATCTCCCTTTCCCCAGGGCCTGTGCTTGAACCCGAAGCCCTGCACACCCCCACGCTCATGACCACACCCTCCCTGACTCCTTTCACCCCCAGCCTGGTCTTCACCTACCCCAGCACTCCTGAGCCCTGCGCCTCAGCCCACCGCAAGAGTAGCAGCAGCAGCGGGGACCCGTCCTCTGACCCCTTGGGGTCCCCTACCCTACTCGCTTTATGAGGCACCCCAGCCCCCGTCCCTGAGCATGCCACCCCGGCTAATATCTCCAGGCCATGAGTCCAGCTGGCTGGACCACATCCCACTCCCGACCCAGAAGGTCCTGCTCCATCCTTCCAGAGACCGGAGCACCGGCTTCCAGATGAAGCCAGCTTGGGCCACCAGGGCGGCCAGTGCTGCCAGCTGTTTCTCTAGAGCTGGCCTCTCTAGCACAATTTGCACTAAATCAGAGACAAAAAAAAAAAAGTTGTGCAAGGGAACTCCTGGCAGCCCCAAGGACACTGTAGCTCCCCAGGGGTCCTCTGAAGCCCTACCCCTGCCAGCCACTCCTAGAGTCTTCATCACCCTCTTCCGCGTGTGACCCCCAACTCCAGCCAACAGAAGGCTATTCTCGGCTAGCCTAGAACACTAATTCGCCCAGCAGCATAGGTCACCGAAGCAGGGCATTCCGTGAGGAGCTGACTGCACCCCCAGCTCTGAGAAGCCTTCAGCTCTGGGAATCCAAGCCTCTGCAGCGAGGACAGCTGCTATTTATTTTCCTAAAGAGAGTATTTTTATACAAACCTGCCAAAATGGAATAAAAGGCTTAAAACTCTGTCCTAGTCTCAGCATACCTGGACTAAAGCCCTAGGCAGAGCTCGGCTGCACGGACTGACTGATGATCTTGGACATATTCTGGACAAAAAAAAAAAAAAGATTTGATATATCTGGACCTGGACCATTTTGTCTGACCAATGAGGCTGCATCTGCTCTGCCTCATCGCCAGGACTGAGCGGAGGAAGAGCGTGCGGAGGGCGCAAGACAGAGGATTCGATCTTTTCCTGGTGGTGGTGGGGGTGCTGCTGCTGCCGCGCGCCGCAGGAGGGCGCTGTTAGGCCCAGTCCAGTCCCATGGGAGGCGGCCAAGTGGGTTCTCGGCCCCCAGCACCTGCTTCCTGCCCCATTGTCTTGTACAGGAAGGAGCCGGGAAGGGAGCTGGAGCCGGGAAGGGAGCTGGAGCCACTTCAGGGGCCAGATCACGGCCTGTTCTGGGGCCTGAGTGGGAGAGTCAGAGCTTACCCCCAGGCGTGAGATAATGGCCACCTTGCTTCGGCCGCCCCTCTAGATGGGAATGGCATTGCGTTCTCAACGCTCCCCACCTCTCCTCCGCCGCCCACCCCGTCCCAACCCCGGCGAGTCCCAAACAGACGCTGCCCAGGCCACCGACTCTGCTTCCTTCCCAGTTTATTAGCCTCCACCCAGCCCCCCGTAAGTCCCTCCGCTCCAGTTCCCCTGCTAACGCCCAGCGAAAAAGAGGGCCACTCCTCAGTGCCAAGGTGCCTAAGTCCATGACAGCAGTTCCTGGTGCGCAGCCGGGGCGGCGTCCACGTCCACAGGTCCACAGCAATCCTGGCGTTTGGGGCGCAATCCGGGCGGGCGTCGGCGCGAAGGGAGCTGCGTCCTCAGTCATCTGGGGAGCAGGCCAGGGGCAACTGATCCGGGCTGCCTACACTGCCGGTGCTGGAGCTCCCATCGCCCAGGTCGCGGGGCCCGCACGGGGGCAAGGCGAGCTCGGGCGCCGGCCCGGTGCCAGAGCCCCCCGCGCCGCTGGGGCCGCCGCGGGGGCCCCACTCCTCGCCCAGCGCCAGGCAGAGCTCCTTAAGCGCCAGGTTCTCCCGCAGCAGCTCCTCCTGGCGGCCTTCCAGCTCGGCCAGCTTCTGCCAGCAACCGCCCAGGTCCTCGCGCACCGCCCGGGATGCTTGGGTCCCGAAGAGCTGCCACTGGCGCGCAGCGCGGCGCCCGCGCTGGCGCTCCGAGTCCAGGAAGCAGCAGAGGTCGCGCAGCTCGCGGTTCTCGGCCTGCAGGCGCCGGTTGAGTTGCTTGAGCTCGCGGATCTCGCCCAGGTGGCCTTGCAGCTGCCGATTCACCTCCTGCATGAGGCGGCCTCGCTGCACCAGAGCCGCCAGGCGCGCCGCCTCCTCCCGCCGCAGGCGCCGCACCAGCTCCTCCTTGCCCAGCGCCGCCATCTCTTCATCCGTCAGCTCCTCCAGGCCGCCCGCCTCGGCCTCCATGGCGGCTCAGGCCTCTGGAGCATCGCCTGCCCGCCGCCGCGGCCAGGAGCCCCCCGTCG